CGTTGAGGTTGTGTTCCCACATCGTTAGCTAGTTTGGATCGCTATAACTTGAATGACTGTCAACTGTAGAATGAACGAGTGTCAAGCATGTCAAATCGCGCTTTGTTTACTTCCAACCGGAAGTCGCACCCACTTTTGACGCAAGGCCTCATGGGGCGTAGGAAACTTGTGGATAGCAGTAGATGCTAATGGCACTTGTCCTTAATCTTTTATATTATTACAACTATCTGCATTCACCTTTGCTGCATTCTCATCAGTGTTAACAGCGTCCATTTCCTCAACTGTTCTGTTCACCAGATTCTTCAGTATCTCCAATCTCCTTTCTGCTCTTTCCTCAACTAGTTCCTTCTCTCTTTGGAGACGTTCACTGAAACATTGAAAAATATAACATAACATAAATTAGTGCATTTTCAATAAAAATGAATTGCACCCATTGACGGTGCTGTGCTCTCTGCATTGTTATTGTGCACTAAAAGAATTATGCAAATAAAAGAATGGCATAAACACAGCCAAAAAATCTCTGCAAGCTCAATCTGAATTCTACATACAGTATGTGAAAATATCATCAGTTCACCACTATGATCTGTAAAACAGTGTTTGACTTACTTGTAGTCTTTTTCCATATTAGAAAACAGCTCCATAAACTCTGTAGTAACTTCTTCACGAATACGAGATTCCATAGTTAATTTTTCAGACTCCTCTTTGGACAACTTCTCTTTGAGCTCTTTAATTGTTACCTGAAACTGTGGCAAATATATCATATAGTTTAAAACAACAATGAAAACTATTAACACGCTTGATGAAAACTGAAAAGACACCTTGAATACCTCACACAGTTCTTGACTTTGCGTAGTCTCTAGCACAGTGTTGTCCTCCATGCTCTCATCGCCACTCTCCACATCTTCCTCACCAATATCTTCATCATCTTCATCCTCTTGCACATCCTCTAGACTCATCTCCCAGCCCATGAGTGAACTTCTCCTGGTCCAATCCTTCTTGTCTGCATTATTGATTATCATGGACACATCTCTGGCAGATCTCTTGAGCACAATGCTAGGAGCTGGTTTAGGGTTGAGGACCACTACCTAAAAGGGAACAAAGTCAAAGTTCAAAATAAATAAATAGCAAAGAATCAAAAAATGCCCTTAATCATTGCTTCTGATATTCTGAAGCTGTCAGTGTAAAAAAGATTAATGGTCCTTGCAGACCTTCTGAGCCACCGCTGAGAACTTGAGGACGTTCAGGGTTTCATCGTACATCGAGGCACTCTGATTTATATTGATGAGCATGCAGGCTTTTCCACGGCCACAGAAAAAACCCTGCAAATAATGTGTGAGCTTGCTCTCTCTAAAGGGGACATGCTGATGAAACCTGCACGAAAAGACATACAAGTTCAGGTTCAAGGAAATTGCCATCTAATACAGCCCATGAAACAAATTAATTGGTTAGAAAGTGGGCATTGTCTCACTTGGATTGCGTTTGGTTGAGCCTCAAAGCGTTGATGCATTTTCCAAGAGTTAACAAGGAAGTGTTGATGTTTCCAGCTTCTTTTAAGCGGTCACCTCGGTTCTGAGTCTTTGCACATCGCTCAGATCCAGCCAAATCACATAATGACAATCTTTAAAAACAAATCAATTAATTAATAAATCAATGATTCTATATTAAAGTAACAGTGGTGTGTTTAAGGTCACCTACTCGCTTATTGCCTGAATTCGAGGAACACCCACATCTTCAACCCGCAAGATTCGAATGGAAAATATACTGTGGCTATAGAAAAAATGTATAATTTAATTTTAGGTCACTTTAAAACGTAATAACATGATAATGAGAGTTAAAAATATCGAGAGTACAAAAAAAAATAATGCTAAAGTGGTTTAAAATGAAATACCTTCTGCTTGAGATGTTGTTGAGCTTGGTGGATGAGAAACTTTGATTTTTTCTTCCGATTTTCATTACTTTTAATGCTTCTTCTGCACTGTTAACTTGAAACCATTTTAGATCTAGAAAAAATATTTAGACAACATGCATATGTCAAAATGTACAGCCATAAAGATAATTCCCTGGTAAATAACCTATATTTAATTATTGAAATGTAAATATTTATTTAATTATTATTTCAATGATTCACTTTTAGATTTGCTACACAAACAAGTGAACTTTTAGACTGATAGTTATAGTTTCTAACTTTTTGTCTTAAGTTAATTTGGTTACCTTTGACAAAAGCGTTGCCTTTAACATCTTGGGCTAATCGCAAAACGCTCCTTCTGTGAGACCCATTTGAAACAAGATCAAGCAGATCATGGATGCTTTCATTGTAGATTTCACAAAAGGAGACCCACACTGAGAATTTGACATGAGAGGTCTCATCCAAACAGACACTGTCCCCATTTGTGTCACTAGAAGTGGAGCCTGGAAGAAGAAATCAATGTAAAGTGCAAGTTCACATTTACTGACACAATGCTCAAAAACGGTTTCAAAGGCAGGGAGAAAGTCATAAAATAATGGAAAATGCTTACTTTCAAAAGATGAACAACTAGAGCTGGACATGCTGGACAGAGTTTTCTGGGAGTCATTCTGATAAACATCAAGAAACAGCCAAGATGTGAGTATGAGTAATGTACTTCTCTGTACTAAAAAATGGTATGTTAAAATGTTGTACTCATGTAAAAAAAATAAAAATAAAATTACATCTTTAAATCGCCGAAGAAGGTTTCTCTTATTTGTAGCATCCTCATCCTGCTGCTCTTTAGTGAGTCTTGTAAAGTCAACACATCTGAGAGGCTTGATGTTATTTTGAGAATAAATTCTACCTTCTATGCTGTTAAAGATAACATTCAATGACCTGGGCAGAATTCCACCATCTGACTCAGGGCCTATAACATACAGGTAGCATAAATAGACATTTAAATATATTAGTAGACAGCAAAACATACATAAAAAAAAAAAAAAAAACATCTCATACAAAACCCTTACCAAGAAAGGTAAATGTCTTCCCAGCATTGGTAACTCCATATGTAAAGATCAAGGAATTCCCCCCCTCCAAGACTTCTTTCACGAGGCTTTTAGTTGTTCCATCAAATATCTGTCTTTGTGTTGTTTCTGGACCGAACACCTAAAATATGAATTAAACATTGTTACATCAGAAAACACTTAACATTTTTTAAAGCCTGTGTACAATTAATTAAAATGCTAGAGGAGACTGTGGCCAATCATACCTGAGAGAACTGAAATCGTTGCACCAGCTGTGGGCCAAATCTCTCACTGTGTCTGGCTGTCAGAGATGCTCTAGGTGCTTTCAGAATCACAGTATCTGGAGGCTCAATTGAAATGCACTCCTGTTTGTACAGATTACAATTATAACAAATTACTGAACGATGGTTCATGAAAGAATGAAAATTCTGTCACCATTTACTCATCCTCATGTTGTTCCAAACCCAGATCAATACAATAAAATTGAATGAGGCTTTTACGTTAACCTTACTTTTTTTTTTTGAAGATGGTTATACGGGTATTGGAACATGTAGGTTGTGGTGACAGAATTCCTCAGAAATATTATGAAATATTGTCAAAATGTACAGGCACCTGTGATTCTCCGTCTGCTCTCTCTGCAGTAGTAAATGGACGTACACGGAGATAGACCTGCAAATTCTCTTTTTCCAACAATACCGAGTCCTATGGAAACATATGCCAAATGAAATGATAATTACACCCTTAAAAACGGATACGAACTAAATATGAGTTATGTCTGAAAATAATACATAAAGTTACCCTTGATAATTTGGAGAACTCGGCGAAGAGATCTTTCCGGAGGTCTTCAACCGTTATAGAGCCAACATTCTCAGGCTTGTGATTTAAACACGAGTCCATCATTTTGAAAAACCCTATCAAAATGTTTGACGTTTAGCTAAACATTTTGTTATTATATGATACTGATTAACTTATACAAGCTAATAATTAAGTGGCTAGGTACAAGCTAAATTAAAACAATATGACGTATCGGCCATTGGACGAGTTAAATTGAGCTCTTAACTGAAATATTATCCTATTAAACTAAGAACCAATTTTGAATGACATGTAAGAATATAAAAATATTACCTATGTGTTCTCATTCTCGCTAATTGCACTTACTTGATACTATTTTCTTTTGTTTATCCCGTTTACGTTGCTAACATGCTTCTTTCTTGCCGTCGCGGTTCTCTGTTCAAATCGGACCAATCGGACTCGGAGAGCTCGCTACAGACGTAGCTCCGCCTCCAAAAGAGGAAGTAAATGTATTGTAGTTCTTGTTAACTGACAACTAAGGAAGGGAATGTCATATAAAATACAAAATATATAAAATAAAAATTATAGGGAAAGGACCAGGCGGGAGGAAATACTATTTCAGGTCTGAATAGCACCTTGTTTTTATTGGGGAAAAGGAATAGTGAAAAGTGTTGAATTAAAGAAAATTTTGAACATGTAATGTTGCATTGTATATTGTTTGCGTTGAAAAGCCAGATATTTCATGATAGGTTACAGCCTGTGGCAGGGCGAGAATAGAATCATGTGGGGTTATTGGGAACAGAAGGAGAAGGAAAAAGGGATAAGAACCACCAGGACGGCATTATTTAAGTTTTATTATTTAAGACACTGGTTGGTGAACAGAATATGAGAGTACCTTAATAAGATACTTAATAGGGTTTATAGTTGACTGATGTGATGCTAGACACTCGAGTGCAGTAGGTGGCAGGTATGCACTTTAAGTTGTTTGCAATCCACCATTAACGAAGAGAAGAAGAATGGCATGAACTAAGCCACAAAGCTCCATAGTGGTTCATGCTAGATAGGGCGGGAGTGGAATCTGGTAGGGATACTGGGATCAGAAGGAGAGAGGCACTATTTAAATTTTTAAAAGACACAAGGTTGTGGAATAGAATTTAACTAATTATTAAATGACATGCTGATACACACTCCAGTACAGTAGGTGGCGGTATGCACCTAAAAGTTGTTTGCAATCCGTCAATAAAGAAGAAGTGGTTCACGCTCTTACTTACTACTATCTATGTTCACGCTTCAGCGTGTAGTCGAATGTGTTAGTGCCTTTCTTTTACTGTCTATGGTTAGTGCATGTGGGAGTTAGATTTGTGTAATAAGAAATAAACGATAAATTTGCTCTAAAACCTTTCGGGTCGGTTTCAGTGGAAGAAAGATGTCGGTGTTTATGGATTTAAACATCATCAGCAGTAATGACAAGAACAGACTCAAAAGCATCATAGAGACAGCAGCTCATCGTAAGTATCATAAACAGAAGCGTTAGTTATTTTGTAAAAACCATTGAATATCAAAATATTGAAATCAGGGTAAATAAAAGCCTAATTACACCGTCTGTGCTTTTAGAGAAACACTTGCTGTTATAAACTTGTTACGTTAATCTACATTTCAGTTGGCTACTCAACAGTCGCAATAAACTATGTGGTTGAACCACAACAGAAGAAAACGGTAACGTTATGATATAAATAAGTTACTCTTATCTGTACACTTTGAGAGACTAAGTTCATGTGATGCTAATATTTTCTTGTTTTACAGGAAATTCCTAAACCACAGAGTGTGTCCGACATATTTGATAAATTCCCAATAATACAGGTATTTTATTTCAGCATGTTTCCAGAGTATAATTAACCGTGATGAATATTCTCTTAATGAAAAGTCTGTTTTGTGTTTTTTTTTTCATAGGGGAAATCATCACCCATCAAAGTACTGAACCGATTGACCATTGTGGCTTCTGATGCATCTCATTTTGTGAGTGTATAATGAGGAAACAACAAAAACATTTTTGATACAGTATTCAAATGGTGAGATTTGTATTGTCTTGTTGTTATTCTCTTCAGAGACTAACCAGTGAATACAAAAACTTTGATCTTGTGGCAGTGTACCCCAAAACAGAAAAACTCTTTCATGTAAGTGAAATTGATTTTCTGAGTTAGCTGCAGTTTTGGCCAATTAGTATTAGTTATTTTCTTTACATTTCTGATGACAACCAAACAACAGTTGTTGTGTGTTAAAGTGTCTGTATGTTTTCCCTCATCTGAGCCAGGCAGCCTGCATGACTTTTGATGTCGACATTATCTGCATTGCAGCGACTGAAAAACAGCCTTTCCATTTTAAAAGGGCTCCGGTTAATGGGGTGAGTTTATATCAATTTATAGCCATACCTACCAGGTGATTTCAAGCACCACTAAGGCATTTATTTGAAAGTTGATTTGGTGGTTAAATAACCAAAATTACAACTATGTGAATATGAAGACGTATTTAACACCTAGATTAAAAAAAGGGTGTATTCACACCTGCCTTGTTTGGTTCGATTTAAACTCTGGTTCGTTTCCTCCCTTGGTGCGGACCTTTTGGGCTGGTGTGAATACAGCAAACGAACTCGGGTGCGGACCAAACAACCGAACCAAGACCCAGCTGAAGAGGTGGTCTCCGTAGAGTTCCAAACGAACTCTGGTATGGTTCGTTTACGGTGTGAACATGAACCGACCCAATTGTAAGAAAGAATTATGCTGCGTTAATTTACGTTAAATTGGACAAACTTAATCGCAAGCGTTAACATTGACAGCACTTGTTAGCAGTACGCTCTATATACGTATCCATTATTTTCTCATATCATACGTATCTATTATTTGAATGTGTGAACATAGCCCCTCTCTATGAATAAAAACTTTATACCTTATTCGTCTTCTGCGCAGTGCCACTTGTAATGCAAAGTTGAGATGTTGCCCAGAGATAATAAAACAGTAGGTCTGATGAAAAGATGCACGAGAGACGAGAGTTGTCGTATTTCCCCATGTTTAATAGAATCACTCAAACGTTACACTCATCCACATACATAGGGATCAGCGAGAAAAAAAGTACACAAACAAACATTCAACTCTGTTCACAATAGATAATGGAAATAAAAGAAAGAATACAAAGAAGTTCTCATCTTAACACAGATTTCCATAAAGCACAAAGTGACAGTTGCACTGTCAGCATGCGCACATGAGAGCATGTTCTCTCTGCCAGAACCGTCTTGCAGCACATCGTCGTCTTCTCAAAATCTGAATTACAACATCGTATAGATGACATTGTATCATATGATACTCATTAGTTTCTTCATATTGCGTTTGTGCAAAATAACACAAAATTAGTAAAAGAACAAATATTGCAGTATGAAATATCTCCATGCTGAGCCTTTTTTACACTTCCTGATTTTCTTACTTGAGAATCCTTACTGGACGACCTTAGCACATATGTGGTTTTGTTTACAAATTTTGGTTCACTTGCAAAAAGAGCAGTGTGAAAGCGAACCGTACCAAAAATAAATAAATAAATAAATGTATTTGGTCCGGACCAAAGCAAGTGAAATATCGGACTTTCCTGGTGTGAATACACCCTAAGGGTGCTTTCACACCTGCCTCATTTAGTTCGGTTGAATCGCATTAGAGTTCGTTTTCCCTCTTGGTGCGGTTGGTTTGGGCAGGTGTGAAGGCAGCAATCGCACTCGGGTCCGGGTATGCTTGCAATTGAACTCTGGAGCGGTTTGTTTCTCTTACTTATATCGCGTGTATACTTTGTTGTTTATGAGGGGATTTGCGAACGGTGTGAACATGAACCGACCCAATTGCAAGAAAGCACTGCGTCGAAAGAGAATATTCCGGCGCACTGTCTGGCCACACGATACTGTTGCGCGTCTTTCTGCGCGTCGTGTGTGCATCATTGGAATGGAATGAATGAATGAGTGTGTGCATCAGGACATTCACGTACAGAGCGTTCTCTTTAGTCTAATTGCGCAGATGCAAAAATAGCAATTGCAGTTCATAATGTTCCCCAGAGATAAAAAAATAACAGTAGATGGTCGAATGAAAAGATGCACGAGAGACGAGAGTTGTCGTATTTCCCCGCGTTTAATAGAACCACTCATACGTTACACTCGTCGTCTTCTCAAAATCCGAATTACAACATCGTATAGATGACATTGTATCATATGATACTCATTAGTTTCTTCATATTGTGTTTGTACAGAATGACACAAAATTAGTAAAAGAACAAATATTGCAGTAGGAAATATCTCCTTGCTGAGCCTTTTGTGCACTTCCTGATTTCCCTACTTGAGAATCCTTGTCCAATGAATGGACGACCTTAGCACACGTGTGGTTTTGTTTACAAATTTTGGTTCACTTGCAAAAAGAGCAGTGTGAAAGCGAGCCGTACCAAAAAATAATAATAATAATTATAAAACTAATTTATTTAGTCCGGACCAAAGCAAGTGAACTATCGGACTTTCCTGGTGTGAATACACCCTGTACTTGCCTCATGTTGAGTTGTTTGAGCCCCTTTTATAATGTCTCCATGGTGTTTTCGGCCCACTTTTCTTATACTTTCATTATATCTTTGACATTTCACTTAAAACGACATGAACATTGATAAATATGAGGATTGCAGTTTTTGTGTATTTATGTATCATCAATGATGTTGTATTGTTTATCACTTCAGGCTATTGACAGGGGGGTTTTCTTTGAGATCTGTTATGCAGCAGCCATCAGAGACAACATTATGAGAAGATACACCATTTCCAATGCCTTTGTCCTCATTGAAATCTGCAAAGGAAAAGTATGTTGTCCCTTTTTTACACATAAATGCCCATAAAACGTTAAGCCGATTCAGAAATTGCATTTCCTCCCACAGAATATCATACTGTCCAGTGGAGCAGAAAGGGTAAAAAAAAAAGTATTTTGTTAATATTTATTTTCAATATTACTATATATGTATGGTCAGTGATGTTTTTTTTCTTAGTCTCTAGAGTTGAGAGGCCCATATGACATTGCCAATTTGTATCCTTTTTAAATTAGTATATAAACAAGGTATCTTGGTACATTTAAAGCACTGTGTGCATGTTGGTATGTTCCTTCATTGAGATTTCAGGGGGCTTGTGTTCAGCCTGTCTGATGGAGATGCCAAAGCTGCCGTTTCTACTAACTGTCGATCTGTCCTGCTGCATGGAGGTAAATTGATGGGAAAGAGCCTCACTATTTCCCATTTCTTCAGTAAAGGCATAAATCTATACCACATGGTCCTGTTTCCAGTTAGTTTGCTCTTTGATTTGCAGAGTATACATTTATATTGGTTGGCATAAGAGGTTTTTATTGATCTTTCAGTCTTCTTTTTGATATTACATTTGTTTAAAATTATGAGAAAATAGTGAGAATGTTCTTCATTGGTGATTTTCATGATCTTTATAACAGAGACGAGAGCTACTGCATTTGGTGTTGTTCACATTATGAAGAAACCACAAACTCCTGAGAAGCAAGAAGAGGAAACTCCAGCACCTAAAAAGGCCAAAATTGAACTAGTGTAGGGAGTATCAGTATTCTAGCTGGAGTTTAAGTATTCATGTATAATAAGTATAGCATTTTAAAATTCTGTTTATTTTTTCCCTGTTCCTTAAAGTCTTCATAATCTTCTTAAAAATTGAATACAGTCATGAAAAAATGACATTTATTTCATCAACCTTTGGAAGAATTGCAAGCAAAATGGTTCATGTCTTACTAAATACTTTCAGAAAAAGTCAATCAAGATCAAAACTTGGCATGAATCTTAATCTAAGCAACAGGGCTTATTCAGGCAGTGCATTTCCATTTGAGTTTCCATTTCTGTTTCTCATTCCTTTTTGCCTTTCCTATACTTCAATAAAAAGTTACCGTGCTTCACTTTCAGAAACTCTAAAATTTTCCTTTTAAAAAGGTGTAATGTCATGCAGGGCTCAATAATATACCTTTCCTAAATATCAGATTCTAAAAACAGGTTTTGAGCATATTATGCCCAAAGTGTAGCTGTGGTGGTCAAGTATTGCTTCTATTTTTTACCATCCTTAAAGTTGTCAAAGATGGTTTTAGCTCCGTTTTGCCACTCACAAACACTGTCCATTGGTGACTTTCCCTCCTGAAGAAAACAAAGCAATGGCAAGTGTGATCAAACAATAGTTAAAGGACTAAAAATGTCAACTAAAAAATATTTTAGATAACTTTTTTCCCCACTAGCAAAATGAATGTTTACATAATTACCAGAAGATGGCACTGCACACAGCTTAAAGGGATAGTTCACCCAAAAATGAAAATTCTGTCATGATTTTCTTACCCTTGTTTTTCCAAACCTGTATGAATTACTTTATTCTGTTGAACTAAAAGAAAGCTATTTTAAAGAATGTCAGTAAACCAGACAGTTGACAATAGCCATTGACTTCCGTAATATATATATATTTTTCCTACTATGGAAGTCAATGACTGACTGTTTGGTTACCACCATTCTTAAAAAAAAAAAAACTCATACAGGTTTAAAACGACATGAGGGTGAGTAAATCATTACAGTAAATCAAATTACCATTTATCAGTATCAGCATCCTAAAACATCAGCAACAGGATAATAGTATATAGATTAAACATTACATTTAAAAATTCTTACACAATTTTTGAGCTTTAAGTCTCCTCCGTGCATCAGAAGAAGCTGGATCAGTTGGAACCGATTCAGTCTGACAGCATCGTGCAGTGGTGTGTCACCCTCCTGATGTAGAAAAACATTTAAGTGACCATTAAAGTGATAATTTACCATTTTCTGACTCAAAGTCTGTGTTGCCTGATTTCTTACTATGTCTTTTGCGTTGACGTCTGCGCCACAGTGTATGAGATGTTCAGCACATTCATATTGTCCTGTCCTGACTGCCACATGAAGGGGAGTGCTGCGAAGCTAAGGACGCCAAGAGTGACCAAAAGAGACAGTATGTCAGACCACACCAGCTATATAGTCAGGTCCAAATCTCCCAAGATTGTGTAACCCTGTAGGTATTTTTGAGGAAAAGTTTTTATACCACATTTTTAGAAAGTTCAATGTGTCCTGAATAAGGATCCTCCGTATAACATTGAAATAAGGGTACCTTTTCTTGTTATTGTTATCGAAACAATAGGTGCATTATTCACAGCCGAAACACTACAGGTGGATAGGGTAAAATTTTTAAGTTATAGATATAACCATTAAACTTTTCCAGTTTTTCAGTTATATAGAGACAAAACATTTTTTGTATTACAAGTTTTCTGAAATGGCATGTTTACATATGCAAATGCGGCATTATCTATTCAAATATGTGCTAATTTGCATAATCTAAACTTTTATATCAGAATTAAAATGTTATGGCAGGGAAGTCTTACAACAAAAGAATTTGAGCCCCCAAAATCACTCTGCAGACCATGTGGAGGATTCTGTTGTTAACAAGCAGAATCACTGAAGGAGAAAACCGGAATTTAAAGTCACCATTATGGAGAAGAGTGTTTTTTTTTTAGTTGGGCTCTTGACCCCCCACATTATTAACTTTATATTTTGTCTGGCTGCTGTATCTGAGTTATAACAGCCAGATAATCAACTAGAAAATGTGATCTGTGGATGTTTGTGTATTAACATTATCATTATATCACAGTCATTTGACCTGAATCACTAAACTCATACAGAAGCAAATTTCTGAGTTAATTTTAACTTATGGTTCATAGCAGCACTGCTATTGTAGAGCATACATTTTTTTAGCCAATCCAAACAATAAAAAAACCCTTAAAACAAAAAGTATTTGTATGCATACACACACAGACATCAATATTTAGCGTATGGATCTCAGCAATGGTGACAAACAAATCACCTCTGAACATAAGCTCATTATTTATTCATGCAGCAATTCATGATGGGAGCCATAAATGAGTTTTGATTGGTGGCACCCAGAATGCACTTACAACATGCTTTATAATAGTCACTTGAGATTCACAGGCTGATTCTTGATGTATGTGTGTGCCTACATAAAACTACTTTGTTTTTTAGAAGTTTCTTTTTCATTGATTTGATCATTTGGAGTTCTTTGAAATGGCTAAATGCTATAATCCATAAAGTAAACTTAACAGTGGCAGTAGCTCATGCAGGTTGTCTACAAATTGGAAGGTTGGTGGTTCAATCCCCAGTTCCACCTGACCAAGTGTCGAAATGTCATGTTTTAACATATAATGTTTATGTTAAAACACATCCAACATCATCAGATCACCTTTTCTATGTGATCATCTGGCTGTTATACCTCACGCATGGCCAAACATATAATCGAAAGTTAATAATGTGGGGGTCAAGAGCCCAACTAAAACAAACATTCATCTCCATAATGGTGACTTTAAATTCCGGTTTTCTTCTTCAGTGATTCTGCTTGTTATCATCATGTGTCTTCAATAATGCTCAATCATCACTCAATTATTCACTTAATTGTCTCATTAACTTTTAACACTGCTTCAGTGTTCATTTAGCACTCAGCTCAGCTCAGAGTTTAATTGGGTGGCTTAAAATGACTTCCATGATGTTGAAGATACATGAACAAATTATGTTTGTTTAACGAAACCCAGTTATGTGGAACTGGTGTAACCTGTTTACATAAAAAAGTTAAGTAAAGCCAACACATAATTTTTTTGAGTGATTAAGCGCTCTCACTTCCAGGCTTTGGTCTGGAGGCAGGCCCACTTGCAGCAGTCAGTTCTGCCACCCCCTGAAACCATGGGATGGAAGACAGAGGGGGATTCCCTTACTCCTCAACTCATGTCACTACCCCCAGTTCCAGATGCCTGTGAGGAGTTAATCACCTGTGCCTGCACCACTGGGTGCAAGACAGCCCGATGCGGCTGCAAGCCTAATCCATGCACTGCATCCTGCAAATGCAGAAAGTCCAATGATACTTGTATGAACTAATAACTTTTGGAATATCTGTGATCACACTATTGTTGCTTGATTTTGTTGAAATTTCAGAGTTCCAGCAGCCATTTAAACAGTAAAAACCGTCCCTTATGTTAACAACTTTTTACATTGTTTACATGTTTAAATATTCTGAGAATGCACAGTTTAGTTCTAAAGTTTAATGTTTAAACTGCAATAAATGCATTAAAACATAATAAATGCTTTAAAAATGTTTAAATGCTTTAAAAATGTTTAAACTGCAATAAATACATGTTTTTTGGCAGCCATTTTTTTTATTGTTTATGCCAAAACAGTGATGTTTACAACTTGTGGCAGAAATGGATTCAGCACCTAAAAATCATATAGAAACAACACCTGAAGTACTTTTCCTCAAAAATGCCTACTGCATCTTATCCATGGCTATTTATCTATTTTGGGACTCGACTAATATCATTCAAACAAATTTGCAGTTTGAATAAGTACTTCTACCTTGTCTCTGGAATCCAGTTTTGCCCCATGTTTAAGCAGAACTTCCAGCACTGGCAAACTGCCGCCACGACAAGCCCAGTGAATTTCAGTTGCTTGAAGCTATTTAAACAACCATGAGAGTAAGAAGTAAGTTCCACTAATATCATCCAAATTTGTATCCACACAATAGATGTAGTATGGAATGGCATCCTGCTCATTTTTTAATTACATTTAATTAAGAAAAAGCAATTAACACATACACCTGACCTAATGAAAATGGAGTAAACATTTCAATTTATATAAGCAGCTGTCAGTTTTGTTTAAAATTTAGAAAACAAAATTTTGTGCAACCAATGTGCAGGTCATAAAACGAAGCGAGATAATAGTGAGAACCCCTGACATAAAGATCAAAGATGATCAAAAATAATTATGTTTATGAATTAATTTAAAACAGAACCAGAGTATAATTTTGAGGCCCTAAAAGATGCAAAAAATGGAAAAGCAAAATGGATATGTCCTTCTAAAAAAAATAGCATATTGTGATAAAGTTCATTATTTACCATAATGTAATGATAAAAATTAAACTTTCATATGTTTTAGATTCATTGCACACCAAATGAAATATTTCATTAATACTGATGATTTTGGCATACAGCTCATGAAAACCCAAAATTCCTGTCTCAAAAAATTAGCATATTTCATCCGACCAATAAAAGAAGTGTTTTTAATAATAAAAAAAAAAAAGAGTCAACCTTCAAATAATTGTGTTCAGTTATACACTCAATACTTGGTCGGGAATCCTTTTGCAGAAATGACTGCTTCAATGCGGCGTGGCATGGAGGCAATCAGCCTGTGGGCACTACTGAGGTGTTATGGAGGCCCCAGGATGATTCGATAGCGGCCTTAAGCTCATCCAGAGTGTTGGGTCTAGCATCTCTGAACTTTCTCTTCACAATATCCCACAGATTCTCTATGAGGTTTAGGGCAGGAGAGTTGGCAGGCCAATTGAGAACAGTATGTTCAGTAAACCATTTACCAGTGGTTTTGGCACTGCAGGTGCCAGGTCGTGCTGAAAAAATTAAATCTTCATCTCCATTAAGCTTGTCAGCAGATGGAAGCATGAAGTGCTCCAAAATCTCCTGCTAGCTAGCTGCATTGACCCTGCCCTTGATGGACCAACACCAGTTGCTGACATGGCACCCCGGCCCAGACCATCACTGACTGTGGGTACTTGACACTGGACTTCGGGCATTTTGGCATTTCCTTCTCCCCAGTCTTCCTCCAGACTCTGGCACCTTGATTTCCGAATGACATGCAACGACTGAGCAACAGTCCAGTGCTGTTTCTCTGTAGCCCAGGTCAGGCGCTTCTGGTTCAAAAGTGGCTTGACCTGGGGAATGTGGCACCTGCAGCCCATTTCCTGCACACGCCTGTTCATGGTGGCTCTGGATGTTTCTACTCCAGACTCACTCCACTGCTTCCGCAGGTCCCCCAAGGTCTGGAATCGGTCCTTCTCCACAATCTTGCTCAGGGTCCGGTCACCTCTTCTCGTTTTGCAGTGTTTTTTGCCACACTTTTTCTTTCCCACGGACTTCCCACTGAGGTGCCTTGATACAGCACTCTGGGAACAGCCTTTTTGTTCAGAAATTTCTTTGTGTCTTACCCTCTTGCTTGAGGGTGTCAATGATGGCCTTCTGGATAGCAGTCAGGTCGGCAGTCGTACCCATGATTGCGGTTTTGAGTAATGAAACAGGCTGGGAGTTTTTAAAAGCCTCAGGAATCTTTTGCAGGTGTTTAGAGTTAATTAGTTGATTCAGATGATTAGGTTAATGGGCTATATGCACGCATAAGTTTCGCATTTGACACAAGGATGCTCTTTAGATTCCGGTTGGGGAGATTAAAGCAGAGGAAAACCGAGGAAAATGGGATTATGGCAGAGTCTTCAATATTTACTGTCCTCCCGTCTTTGAAACGAAACTTTCATACGTTTAGATGTAATTTTATTAGGGCTGTCAAACGATTAATCGCGATTAATCGCGTCCAAAATAATAGTTTGTGTTTTCATAATATATGCACTGTGTACACACATACATGCTTGTATATATTTAAAAACTATTTTCATGTATATACTATATATAGATTTATATATCATTTATATTATACATAAATATAAATATTATATATATGGGTCAGTGACATATATACCATAAAAAAGTGTTTTTTCAAAAATTTCAAATAACAGGCATAAAAATGGTTGACTTTTGTTCTACTAACTCTCATCTTTATAGAAACATATGTTGTTTCAAAATTTTCAATTGGAATCAGAATTTATGTGATAATTTGTTGAATTAGTGCGTACAATCGTCATATGGTGTGACATGAAAATAATTGTATATAAACTGAAAATGGATTATACCTTTCTTAAGTTACTCACTTTATCAAAGTAATTTATCACAACTAAACTGTGATCCATTATAGTTTTGTGAAAATTAATTAAATTTGTGTATTATTTTCTAAAACATTGCTCAATGTGAGACCTATGGCGTCGGCCTTTCAACATATTTTCTATTTATTGTGACAAACCTTGCTAGAAAATTATAAAAGTATTTGTGACTCTTGCTGATACTATTTTCTATGTATTCCATGAATATTTTCTGGTTTTATCATTAATGAAGGTATGTTATTTCACAATTTGGAATGTCACACAAATGATATAGTGTCACACCATATGACAATGTCGCCATGTGTCAATGCAAACCATGTATTATCCTACTTATTGGTGAGTACTGATCACTCATATGGCAGGGAATATTTAACCACTCGTAAATGCTGGAAGGTAATATTCAAATTTTATTGATTTATTTGATATTTAACAATAAAACAAACAGGTTTTTTTAATATTGTATGAGCCATATGAACATAATGTTTGTGTATTAAATTTCATTTCAATTCAAAACTGGTCTGCAATATGTATTAATATAAGTAAAGCAAACAATTTTTTATACCATATGAACCGTGAACATACAGCGTAGCTGAGTGGATCCACAAACAAATGAGTTAATCTAGACTCCAATGTACTTTGTACATAAGCCAGTCAAATTTGGAGAGAGTGGCAAACCGACTGCCTTGCTGAGGTTGTGTTAAGCAGTGTTGTGGACTCGAGACTCGGTCTCGAGACCATATTTTAATGGTCTCGGTCTTGTCATGGACTCGGAATTGACTCGTACTCAAACATATTAGGACTCGGACTTATCCCCGAGTCCACTCAAGTCCCATTCAAAATATGTCATGATTATTACTGTATGTTAATATTTCTTTAAATTGCTGTTTGATTGAAACGTCCAATGATTGCTTACTTTCTTGTGTGCAACTGACTCTAACGACTATAACGACTATAACTATAACGTTCACGGCACGCAAATGTAGCAGGACCCAGGTCAGATGTGATGTGGAGCCTCTAGCTCAACTGTGTATTGAAAATGTCTGCCTTATCATCCATAATTCAGTTTGCATATAAGAGCCACACAGAATTCGTATGCAGTAAAGTCATGTGAAAGAGCACTTTTTGATTGTAATAATTGTAAATCATATAATAAAATTACCTATACACCACTATGTGGCCTTTTTACAATTACAGTGTACATAATTCCATGGTATATTTGGTTTACTGTTTGAGTATGGTGCCAATTTTATTGTTACCACCAAATATTTTACATATTCTTGAAGATATCTTTAAGTGGTTCGAGACCCAACCTTAGGTTATCCAACCTCTCTCGTTTCGGTCTCGATTCAGACTCGACTCTCGACTCAGACTCGACTCTCTATGGTCTCGGTCTCGACTCGGACTCGACACTCTATGGTCTCGGTCTCGACTCGGACTCGAGTGAGCTGGTCTCGACTACAACACTGGTGAACAACTTCCTGATCTTGATAATAAATGCAGTCTCGCCTATTTGGCCAGACAAAACCATTTTTGTCTCCATATTGTTTCATGCAGTATGAAACATTCATACATCATAATTACAGCTTTTATGTGATGATGGACCTAAATAAATGTTTAAAAGGACAAACCATACATTGGACTTTGTTATTTATTGTTATATATGCAGGGAATTACAATTCATATCATATGGTGTGACAATCAAATCATATGGCGTGACAGGCGGACATGTCACACCATATGATGAAGTGTCACACCATACGATGTTTTCTGCACTTAGCACAACATTGAGTCTTGTAGCTACACATTAGCATGCTAACAACATGCTAGCTATAACAAAGCAGCATAGATTTACATATAATTATGACAAAATAATAACATTTATTTAGCATTTTTATAAAAAAATGTGTCACACCAAAAGACATCTGAAAGTGGGACTTTTGTCAGAGTGCCAACAAGATCTGATTTATTGTAAATATAAAAATGCTGACTTGCCTCAGGTTGTACAGCAGCAATACACTGCTAGTTCTGTACAACATTGCTGAAGAAGATCCTCTACTTCCCAAGGGTGTCAAAACAGTTGCCCTTTCAAATATCCCAAAATAGTGTCGCACCATATGATTTTGATTTGTGTGACAAAATCTTTTTGATTAGAACTGACTCAAAACATTATGCTTGGACTTTGAAAAGAGTAGGCTCACAAATAGACATCTGTATTATTTTTCTGTATTTTTTTGAGAATTTTTGCATTTATTTTTTTTAGTTTGTTTTAAGTTCTCAATTTGAGAAACAAGTGCCGGACAGTCACACCATATGAGTTTTGTTATGTTTGGTTGAAAATTCTGAAAAAATTAGTGATGAACTGTTTTAATTTTGAATATGTTCCCATAAAGCATAATGTTCTGCACAATATTGAGAAGGTTTTTGGCAAATATATTTTTTACTCATACATGTTTGACACTGAAGACAGCAAAATTGCCATGTCACGTCACCCACCCATATATATATATATAAAAAAAAACAATTTCTATATTGTTCTATATTGTATATTGTGTATTTATATACAAAATAATTATACACAGTGCACCCACATATATTATGTAAACACAAACTTTTATTTTGGATGCGATTAATCGCGATTAATCGTTCGACAGACCTAAATTTTATATATAGTTATGTT